AAATAAAATAAAATCTTTTAAAATTTTTTTTTTTTAATTCGAGTTTGACGTAGGCTTTTCCCATAATTATATAATTGTACGTATATCATTGCGGAAACTTTCCAGCTTGTAGCATTCTTTTATTTTATTTTACCTTTTTAAAGAAAAAACAGTCAGGAATTAAACAATAGCCTTTCCTTTATCACTCGCTTTTTCCCCTTCTAGTATTTAAGCGAATCAAGCATCACGGTATTATACACACACTCATTACTCATTACTCACTACTCACCACTCCTTCAAAACTGATCAGCTTCTGTCGGTAAAGAAGAAGATGAGAACCGAGATGAAGAGACATTGCCTTGGATTCACTTCGGCGGTGCTTCTGATTCTACTCTTCGGAGAAGTTCTTGAGGCGGCATCTATAACCGGAGTCAGCATCAGCACCACCAACATTGCCGAATTTATAGGGGACGAAGAGTTCTTGATGGATTCTGAAATAAACGCAAGGTTTCTCGTCGACAAACCAAATATATGTAAGGATATTGGACATTCGACACCAGATCCTAATCATCCAGTTTCCGGTTGCTACGCAGAGAACAGAGTCTCATGCCGCGGTCGTGAATGCGGCCGGAAGACCGCGCAGCTGCGGTGGATTTCAAGCCGCACGAATTAATTATTCATAAGGTGAAGGTACATTTAAGAATGATGTTGCACACGTTTTCCCCCAAATCATCCGGATCTCCCCCTCGATCTGTATTTTAAATAAGTACCGTACCATTCGTGCACTAAAATTAGATGGAATGTGTCGACAATTAAGCTATGTATTAATTAAAGCCATGTATGTATTTTTATGTTTGGTTCTGCTAACTGGCAGGATGTTATTTTTATTGTTTTTTTTAACAGTATCGTGTGTCCTCCCTATCACCTGCTCTATCATTGTTGGGAAGATATTTGAATTATTCGGAGTAAATATGAAAAATTTTAATGGAGCTCCGATTTGAAGTTGTAGTGAGATTTAATCTCTTAATTTGATTTTAACTTAGATTTGCAAAGTTCATATTATAACTTGAATTTTAAGTTTAGAATTTAATAATTCTATTTAAATATAATATAAATGTGTTACTAGTGAGGGACTCATATGAAAATATATGGTATGAAACAACCCGAAACACACGACTTCGTCAAGACTCATCATTGAACCTAACAATTCTTTGAGTTAAACTTCGAAAACCTTCAAAAATTCAAAGTCAAGTATCCGGGCGTAAAAGAAGCCTTCTTTGGTCAAGAGGTTCACATGGTCGTAACTGCCTCACCATTGCCTAACTAATTGTCCATTATTCCACGGTGACAAAGATCGAATATACATTAAGTGATTCTTTAAGATATTTGATGATTCAATATTGCCAGCGTTTGAGGTCGAGGATGAAAACTGGTACGTGGGTTTCAAAGCATCTTACAGACAATATTTACAATCTTTCCTCGGTTTTGAAAGTACAGGAAACCAAAAACTTTCATCCAGATCGATCTGGTTCTTTCAGCATATATATGAATAATGTAGATGACGCCTTAATTATGTCTCGAATGTGTGATTAGTTGTGCTAGTGTATGTAATTATTGATTGTATGTATGGGTGCACAAGACTATTTGTTGATTGTATGATTGGTGTTGAGTGTCGGTGCTATTGAGTATATAATTGGCATGTGATGTGAGTGCCCAGCCAAAAGTCTTGGTCTTTCTTTTTTTTTTATTGTTTATATAATTGGCATAGTGAGCGCCCACCCAAAAGTCTTGGTCTTCTGTCATTTTTTATTGTATATATAATTGGCATGTGAGTGCCCAGCCACAAGTCGTGGTCTTTCGTCATTTTTTATTGTGTATATTTTAAGATTGTTGGGTTAATCAATTAGATAAAGCAATATATTTGTCAAAATTTTTACCAACTTATTTTTTACAAAGTTGATTTAGTATGAAACTATTTTAGACTAATGGTGTTTTAGTTTTCAATGAAAAAACCGTTGCAGTCAGTTTTCATTAGGCCCTGAGGTTAACTAGTTATGCATCGCCTGAGGAAATCCTCTTCCTTCTACTTTTTCTGATTTTCTTTAATTGATTGCTTTCTTTTTGTATGAAATAGGGACCGATTGACGTTTACCATAAAGTGGGACTCTCTACGCACTATAGAAAGACACCAAATGGTAAGAATGATTGAAAAAAGGTGATGTTGGTTAGTGGATGCTACTTGGAATTGATTTCATTGAAAAAATTATATTGCGAGATAAAAGTAGGTTGAATAAAATTGAAAAGAAGGGTAGATATGGTCGTCTGAACTCTTTTTTTTTTTAAATAGGTAATGGAGTAGTCTGAACTCTTGAAACAAATATTGTAAGTCGATGTGGTAGTCTTTCTTTATCTTTATCTCTTTTTAACAATAGTAAGGAAACATATCAATCATCATCTCATTCTCCACCAGCTTAAAGAACTGACCTTTATATTGCAATATGACAAAAATATTGAATTTTGAAGTTAAAATATGAACATATAGACGGGATAAAAGTATACCCAGTTGACGAGAAAAGCAGAGAGGCAACTAGATTAATGGGGTGGGAGATGGGGAATGAACTGCAAAACCCTAGGGGGCCGGGAGGGGTTTACAAGGTGAAAGGAGGGTCTAATTCTAACTAATGTAAACATCAGAGAGGTCCTTAATATATTCATCGAAAATATGAGTAATCTCCACTTCTTATTATTGTTTTCACACTTTTAACCTCATCGTTTCTCTTTTCAGCCAAAAGAAAAAGTAAAAATGTATTAATTAAAGAAAAAGGCCTTACTATTTTTCTGCTTTTCGTTTAGGTGCGTTAAAGATAGATAAGGGTCCATAGGTAATGGGTTGGGCTATTCCCCCGAAGGCTTGTAGAAAGCGCGTGTCTGGATCCAACCCAACTCTTCAACCTCAATTTCATCCAAAAGCCCAATAGGGCAGTAACGAATTCCTCGAATTACGGCATTTGGAGTCCATAAGATACTCATTACGCAAATAAAAGACCTAAAAAAATTTTAAACAATTTCTTTCAAAACTTAAGTTTCACAAAAAAAAAAAAAAAAAGATATCGGGGATTTTATTTTATTTTTTCCCCCTTTTTCCCTTGTACTCTACAATGAATCGTACAAATTAAAACAAGCCCTCTAAACAAGAAAGTAATAAGGTGGGGTAAAATTTATCTACCTTAAATTTTTTTAGGTGTAATTGCCATCTTATTAAAATTTTAAAGAGACTAAGTTACCCATTAATTTAACGAGTGGAGTTGGATGGGAGTTGAAGGAGGTATGTTTGGTGCAAGAATTTAAAATTAAGGAATTAGCGAAGTATAAAATAGAGTTGAAGAACAAAATTAGTGCAAAACACTTGAATTGAGGAGCCACAAAAGGAATTAAATCCGATTTTCTTATAGTAAAGTATTAAAAAAACCACAATTATGGCATTCCAAGGCAATCTCAAATACAATCTTAAACTCTAATTTGAAAACCTTGACGTGTTTGGTTTCTTTCTTTAAGAAATATTATTTTTATGCTCTGTTTGAAAACATGAATTTGATGGAGTGTATTTGAATTTGAATACTCTAAATTCAATATCATTGTTTGTTTTTACCTAAATAAAAGGTAATTAAATTTCAGTAAAATACATGCATTTCAACCAGGTAATTTAAGAGAGTAAAAACAGTGTATTTCAAATTCACTTTCAAACCCAAGAATTTCAATTTTGAATTGAATTTCCTCTGCACTCTCTCCTCTCACCGACGGCGATGAGGCCTTCTTCGTCTGTCCATCTTGACTTTGCCGCTGCTCTTTCACTTTCTCGTCGTTGTCGACCACTTGAACCACTGCTGTAAAATCGTTATAAAATGCCTTCATCAACATAGCTCTCTCACTCTCAAATCCCAACACACTGATCTTCGGTGCTGTCTCTCTTCTTCTCCTTCATTCTCCTTCGCTTGAGCAAGTATCGACGACCAAGGGTGAGTCCATGGTTCTGCTTCGGAGGGAGAACGAAAAGCCCAAGGTTCTCTTCAATGCCTTTTCAAGTTTTGAATCTCGTCAGTTCGTCGGATTTTGATTTCAAGTACTTCGTTCTGCTTAATAAGCATCTATGGCTTTCGGTTTTTGTTCTATTAATAGATCGAGGAGTATCGCTTTGTT